GGGGGGAGGACAAAGCCAAAGGGAATGAATGACTCACGACCATGGAAGTAGCGCAATCCACAATGGTAGCGCCAGCCCCACCATGAAGGTTACCCAGCTGATTGGCCATGCCCTCATTGATGCGCATCTTGAGCACCACTTTTGCGCTCTTTTGATCCTCTGAACGGGAGAGGTGGGTCAAGCTAACGGATGGATCCAGAGCGTAGCGCGAAAATCCGGGAGATTCGGGTGACGACATGGCTTCGAGAATGTCTGCGGTGCGGAGACGAAAGGGATGCAGGATGAAGTCAATTTCTTTTCTTGGGGGGCCACATCGACTTGGCTTGGCACTCTTTCTCGTGCAAGTCGGAGAGGCGGCAAGAGGCGAGAGGACGCACCTTGGATGGCCTTTTTGGCCCCATCTATGCTCTGCAATTGAGGCGCAGGCATCTTGTCTAACCCTTTGTTCTCGGTACACGTGCGAGTAGTATGCCTGCCTGCCTGCCTGCCCGCCTGCCTGCCTAGCTAGCTAGCTAGTTGTGTCTTGTCTTTGTGTTGCTTTGAGAAGCTTGCAGCGTCTCTTTGAAGATGGAAGATGAAATGTGCAATGATGGATCTTGCTTTGAGCGTTGCGATTTCGACACGAATCAGAGAGGGCGCGGGTTGAAGAAGCGGAGGGAGGTTGGACCAATGAATCGGATCAGATCACAGCCCAGAGCGATGTGATGGATGGTTAATCAACGTACGTCGTGATCAATCCATCTTTCCCTTCCACATGATAGTTGATACAGCCGCTCTTTTCCCTCTCGACCAACTAAGCGCGCCGCCCCCGGCCACTCGTCTGCTTCCGAATCCGAATCCGAATACTTTGCATCATCACCAATCACGAATCCAAAAGCGACTCATCCGCACTCAGACTCGTCACTCATCGTGCTGCTGCTTATCCGCCCCAGGCATGCAGCATATATATATGCAGCCCGCCGCTTCTCGTTCGCTCGGCGCGCGCGCGTGAGAGCTGCTGCTGCTGCCAAATGACGCGCGCGGAGAGAACACGTGACTGCACTAGAAATCCACGCTTTTGTCGCAATTGAATCAAAATAAGGGAAACGCCGCGAACCCATGATGACGTGCATGCGTGCGTGCGTGCGGCCAACCAACTCATCATACTCGAGAGTCGAGACTAACTGTCCAGATTCGTGATCGTCGCGACTGGGACTCTCTCACTCACTCCTTTCACAGACTTGATGCTCCCACCGCTCGTGCTTCGCACAAGAGTCACAACCGTCAGCTGCAGCGTGCTGCAAGCAACGTAACGGGAATCCTGCGAGGAAAAGCGCGAGACACGACGAAGCAGTGCAGCACGTCCTTAGCACGGGGCGTCTATCAGTCGTTGCAAGCCATTACACGCGCCTTTTGAGCATTGGTCAAGTCTACACAGCATTCCCGAACCTTTGGTTCTCGCAGCTAGCACTCATCAGATTCAAGCAACACCAACCGTACAATGACACGTGAGTGCAATTTAGTGCGGGGAAGCCTGAGCTCAGCGCCTTCTCGTACCGCTGTTCGCGTCTTCGCTGAACACCTTTCTCCCCCCCACGCACTCCCCGTCTTTCGATGCATTCGTGCCAGGGGGCAATCAGAGAGATTTGGCTCGAGCCAAGAATGCAAAGAAGCAGGAAGCTGCGGGAAAGGGCAAGAAGGATACTGGTGGATTGACCTTGGCTCAGCAGAGACAGAGGGATTTGGAGATTGTCCATGCAAAGCAGGCTGTGAGTCGATCGAGTCGCGCGCTTGGAAGACTTCATCATTTCCCCAGAAGGATGGGGACATGCTTGGGAGGGGGGGAAAGGAGGGAGGCGCGATATGAATTGCGATGCGAAGCGTGGCGTTGCTTTGCAAACATGGTGCTCAGTCGCTTGGAGCTACAAGAAGAGCGGCTTTTGCAAGCCGAGCCAGCGCACAAGAAAAGAGGCTCAGATGCCTCTGACCACATCCATCACATCGCCGCCGCGAGTGAACACCTTACCGTCGCCCCCTCCGCCCCTCTTCCAACCTTTGCTGCCCGCGCCAGCGCTAGATGCGTACGTGTGTACTGACGATCTTTTTATCACCTCCTTCGACAGGCCTTCGAAAAGGCAAAGGCGGAAAAGGAAGCGGCGGAGCTGGAAGCGAAGAGGGCAGCAGCAGCGAAAAGATGATGAGGCGGGAAGAGCATCGCGCGCGTCATCTTTGGGATTCACGACCACTCCATCGCGAGAGGAGTCGCCAGTCTCTTTTCGGGCTGCTGCGGCTCGGATGGTGTCGCTTCGATGGCCCCGTTTTGCTCATCCCGCCCTTTTGCAAGCCGCGGCTCCATCTCCCTGCTGACCACTTTCAAACACATCACGTGCTTCTCCATACACGCACAACAGACACTTCTGTCTTTTTCGCCGCTTTGCAACTATATAGAGTTCGATGATAGCAGGCCAAAGCGATTTGTGATCGACTCAAGCGCGTGGGGCTCAAAAGAGGGGCAAGAGCTCGTTGACGAGCGCAGACGACGACTGCGGTGGAAGATCTTCAGCAGCTTAGATGGGGGGGGA